TATTCCTAGTATAGGGACTGGTGCATATAAGTATGTAATAAATCCATTGTTTTTTTTTCAAAAAAATAAGTAGCTACTGCATGTTGGGGATTGATTAATTTTGGAAACACAGCACTAAAGAATTATACCAAGTTCCAGCTGTCAAGAAGCAGCTACTATTCTAAAGGGAGGGGACCAATGATCAACAAGTAATTCAGTATATGTTGGATTATAAATGCAGTTGAGAAAATTAGTACAGGGTAAAGGGGATAAAGAATGAAGGGGGAAATACAATGAATAAAGATTCACTGGTACTCAAAAAAAAAAAAAAAAAAGAATGGAGGGAGCTGGGGCTGGGGTGTAGCTTGGCGGGAAAGGGCATTGATGTCACCTGGCAATCAATGCTGCTTTCTCTTCCTGATCATTTACAGGCTACCCTGGGGATTATCTTCTCAGAATTATTTGAACTCTAACTTTCTTAAACTATGGAATGGGATGGGGGATAATCATGGAACAGTGTGTGGTTTTATTTAATTTGCTAAAATTAAAGTTCAGACAATCTTTCCAAACTTCAATTTGCTTGGAACGTCAAAGCAAAGAATAAAAAGGCAAGATTCCTGGATTGCTTTACTGATTTAGCATTTACAAAATATTTGAAAATTGTCCAAAATTATAGGCTTTAGTGAAGTGGAAAAGGATTTCATTAAAAAAAAAAAACTGTATATATAAACAAAAATATGTGCAAAGAAAAACAAAAAGCAATAGTTCAGAAACTCTGGCCGTGGGGCTGAAATATAATTTCTCTTCTCCCATACCTGAGGAAATCATGCAACTCTGTGCTTCAGTTTCCTTGTCTATAAACTGATTTTAAGAAGAACCCAATTCTATAGTTTTTCTCTTCAGAGACTTCAACTCCTACTTTTGTTTTTGATAACTGAAACACTGTTTTGTTCATTTCTGACTTTTTTTTTTTTTTTTTTTAGGTGCTGGGGATTTAATCCAGGGGCACTTTACTACTGAGATACATCCCCAGGCTTTTTCTTTTTCTTTTTTCTTTTTATTTTGAGACAGGATCTCACTAAGCTGCTTAGTACTTCACTTCGCTGAGGCTGGCCTTGAACTTGCAATCCTCCTGTCTCATCCTCCTCCGTGGCTGAGATTAAAGGCGTGTGCCACCAGGCCTAGCTGACTCTTTTTTTAAAAAGAGTTGAACTGATGTTGGACTGTAACAATTTCCTATTTATATATGGAATCCTCCTTTGCAACAAAGTGCAGTTTCTGTTGCTTCTTAGTTTCCTTCTGGGACAGGGAACAAGAGAATGTTAACAACCCGAGGGTTCTTAGTACTACAAAAAAGCCTTGAATTATTTCTTTTTTTGTGATTTCTTCATGCTTTGAAAGATATTGGTCACTACTATGGGTACAGATGTTAAAATGATCAGCAACTTGACAATACTGGACAATAAAACCATCTTAAAAGTAAATGAAATATTGTGTGCTAAGATTTCTACTCATATTTTCCCCCCTTTTAATGCTCTTGATATAAATAATTTCTTATTGTTATAAAAACTTGCATTTTTTCAAATGCCTCCATTCTCATTTTAATTTGTCAAAATAAGAGATGATCTTAAAAACAATTTTTAAATACAAAATTGCTTTTAAAATGGTTTAAACATGTTTAGTACTTTTGCAATCTCAGCTTTTATTTTACATTAAAGAAAAACTCTCCAGATATTATTTTTTTTAAAAACATTCTTTAGTGGTCAGTGGATCTTTTAAGTTTTTTTTTTTTTTTTTTAACTAGCTGGCCTTCATTTTTGTTTTTAATATTCTTGCAAACAGTCAGATGGCAATGTAAGCTGGCACAATGCCTCATATTTATTTGAATCACTCTTCAATGTCAAACCCCAAGAGAAAATAGCCCAGCATTTTGCAGACAAGTTTCTTTTCTCCGATGCTGAGGTACAGTGATCTGTGAGATAGTATCATTACCCAGGGAATTGCAGACCCAAATGACAACTTCGTCACTTGTGAAATAGAAGGAGCATTTGCTTTCCAATTTCCTCTTTGGGTTTAGTTCTCATAGTGACATTAGTCATGAGAAAGCTTGAAAACTTCCCAGAGCCTCCAAAGAACTGATCCAATAAATCATTAACTACCATCCTCCTGCTCACTTCTTTTTGCTTTAGCCCTTACTTTCTACCAGGAACAGATATTTCTGTATTTGGTCTGCTTATTAGTATATGTGATATATTTAGGAGCTGTTGGTAACCAATTGTTTTGTGAAAACAATTGGTTAGTGTTAGTGATGTCAACTTCATTGAGGTTCTTTGTTTTTTTCAACTTCTACTACAGTCCTTTCCACCAGGTGTCAGCATCTCCAACATGCCCTGCTCCAAGTCATCCTATAACCTGCTGTAAGATTTACCTTCCCTAAACTCCCTATTGTCCTGTAGTTCCTATGTTGAAAACTTTGAAGAGCTCACTTTAGTAATATCTAGTCCTCTTAGATTGACATTCCAAGTTCTCCATTATCTGATAATAGCTCCCCTGCTCATATCCAGTTGAGTCTCCTGTCTGACCCTATAGTCTCTTGCTCTCCCCTGTCTCCCAGGAAAGGACATTCTGTGTCCAATTCTTCTTCACCTTTCAAGGTCTACCTGAATTCACGCTTTAAAATCCTGCAATCTTCCTTGGCCATTGTAGTTTTCAGTGATTTTATTTCCCACCTCTAAATACTCAGACTGACCACTTATTTGGGCCTTAAATCATACACTCATACTAAAATTTGCTATGTGTAAGGGCTTAATTGTTAGTATTCGATGCATGGACTAATAGAGATGGAATGGACTTTAGATATCATCCAATTCAGCATCTTCTGTAACAATGTAACACAGAACACTCACCTTCTACATGTTTGCCTTTGGATGAACATTGACTGACATGGTGCTGTGCTTCAGAATGTAACCATTTCATCTCTGAATTGCTCTTATAATTAGAGACATCTACTTTTTGAGGAAAGATGCCCCCCCCCATCCCATTTCAACCAGGTGAGAATCTAAAGTCTCCAGAAAAAAAGGTGGGGGGGCCGGTATTGAGTGAAGAAGTACTGTGAGCACAGGCTACAAATCTGTCCTTCAGCCTCACAAGATATCTTGATAGAAATGCAAATTCCATGAGCCTCAGACTGAACCTATTGAATTGGAAACTGAGGGTGGGTTCAGAATGTGAGTTTTAACAAGTTTGAGGAGCACTGCATTGCTCATATGAAATCGAAAACAGCTGGTGGCTGTGTTTTTGCATAATTAAAATGGTTATTATCACTGTGCTGCCTTTTTCTTTCTTTCCTTTGCTGATTTGCAAGTTTGTTTGCTGTATTGAGATGATATGTAGGGTTGGGACTGTAGCTCAGTGGCAGAGTGCTTGCCTACTAGCATGCTTTGAGGCACTGGGTTCAATCCTCTACACCACATAAAAATAAACAAAAACATTCTGTCCATCTACAACTACAAAAAAGATTTTTTTAAAAAAAGATGATATTTAGGGCTGGGTATGTGGTTCCAGCGGTGGCGTGCTCGCCTGGCATGCCTGCGGTGCAGGTTCGATCCTCAGCACCACATACAAACAAAGATGTTGTGTCCGCCGAGAACTGAAGAATAAATATTGAAGAATTCTCTCTCTCTCTCTCTCTCTCTCTCTCTCTCTCTCACTCTTTCTTTAAAAAAAAAAAAGATGATATTTAATGGCACAAGTCAAGTACTAATGGTCCACTCAACAGCATGAAAGTCATCGCAAAACAGTCATTATGTAGCTAAAGGGGAACTACAACTATATCGTCACATGAGGCATAAAAACATTTTCTTTTAAAGCTTGTATTTAGGTTATAACTCCTACTGTAAATAAATGTATTGTTCTTTTTGTTATTGTTTTCTGAAATTTGTAGTTTAGATGCTGTCTGAGGTTTGCTGTGGGTTTGTCATACATAATCCAAAAATTTTCACTGCTTTGGAGTTCATTTATGAGTAAGATTGTGTTGTGTGTTCTACATACAAATGCAAAAGCATTTATTGTGTTTCACCTAAATAAAAATCTCGTTTAGACCTGCCTCAGTTTGTTTTTTCAGTCAACTGGTCACTTACAATCCCACAAAATGGTAAGGCACAGGGAAAGTGTCTCACATTCCTTTAGGTCACATCAGTCTAGGGCACAAAGAGAAATACAACTCCTGGTGACTGCATGAAACCCCTGGATTTTAAAACAGAAATATGCTGTTTAATTTCCTTTAAAACTGAGCCGGAAAAGGTTTTTGTGGTTGTGGGACCCCAGCTGGGCCTGACCTACAGTTGTGCACACGGGGCGGGGACGGGGGCGGGCAGAAGTGATGGGTGACTGGCAGTTATGTTTTGAGTGGTTGCTTGGGTAATGTTTATCTTGTCCTTCCAGCATTCGCGCGCGCAAACACATTTACAGCTTCTTGTCATGAAAGGGGAACCCTATATGTTATATTAAAAAAAAAAATCAGATGCAACTTTCAATGAGGACGGGGAGAGAGAGAGAGAGAGAGAGAGAGAGAGAGAGAGAGAGAGAGAGAG